TATTTAAAGCATAATGATACTCTCTCTGCCATTTTGAACTCTAATTATTCTTATATTTCTTCCTTGGCAATAGTTACAAACATACCTTTTGCTATTGGTTCTTTTGCAGATTACTGTTTACATCTTTGATTGTCATTGATCGTTTCACCGGCTTGTGAAATGTTAACTGCTCTGTTAATTAGATGCCAAACTAAGGAATAGCAGATACTATGTTGTCTACCAGGCCTCTCTCACTTCAGTGTTAGTACAATGCCTCATATCTCATAAATGCTTAATAAATGCTGTCATTAGTAGTAAAATTGTTCCATTATTCCAGGCAAATGAAAAAAATATATAGTTAAGTCAGAAAGAGAGTGAAGGCAAGGCCCCCTGGGAAGGTGCCGCTAGCAGAAACATTGCCAAATCAAATCATGTTTCCAGTTTACCAAGAGTCAGTGAGCCCTATGGACATACTCTAACCCAAACTGGGGAAATTGGGAACAAATGCTTTTGGAACCCCACATGTTTGGGTGTGGGCTGGGGAGACCTTCACAGGCTTGTAGACCACATGGCAGTTTCAAGTTTTTCATATATAAGACTTGGAAGTGAAAGTCAGATGTGATTAAAAATACACGTCTTACAGATGTCTGGATGCTGTTCAAATCCCCAAAAGTGTGATAGAAAATGCAGTTGCTTTCCAGATTTTTAGGGCGGAAAAAAAGGCCACCGTGTCCCCTTTGTCTCCTTATTGAATGGGTATGTTCAAGTGACGTTTTAAATTTGTAGTGTTATGTCAGCTGCCTGTTTACCTTTTGAGTGGCCCTGCTCACTGCTCTGAAACTGAAAACAGGGTAATTGGAGGAACACGTGATGTGTCCCAGGAGATGAAAAGTCCGTATTATTTTTAGCATATGCCAAGTAAGCCTAGGAAAGTGTAACATGCATATAAACATAATTTATGGAAATGAAAAATATAAAATCTTCATACTATCTCCCTGATACCAAAATAGAACAAAATTACCTTCTTTTAATATTTTTTTACATTCTCATTCTTTATAAGAAAATTTTAATTTATTTTACTTTTAAAAAAAGCACTCTGTAACCATATCCAGCTGTTTGGCTTTGTTTATAATAATGTGTTTACTTATCATCAATATAAACACATGATCTGAACATCTGTCTCCTTCTACCCCAACTTATTTGCTTTCAGTCTTTACTTTAGCTTGAACTTGAAGTCAACATTTTTTTTTTTTGGGACTCAAAGGAGTTGCAGAGACCCTAGAGGTGTTTCTTTGCAGTGGACTTGAGAGGTATGTTTAATTTAAGAAGTCATATCCCCCTCCCTTCCCAAAAAAGGAAAAAAAGAAAAAAAAAAAAGAATTGTCTCTGTTACACAGGCAGAGAACAAAATGGAAAAGAAAGGCACTGTGTTTTGCCAGACAAAGACAGGCTATCAATTTTCATAAATCTACATTCCCAAGACAACTGCTCATGTCTGGTAAGAGGTCTATTTCTTTGAACTTACATACCAGAAAGTATTTTTTCCCTTGTCTCAGAAAGTTGAAGAATACACTTTAATAATTGTAATATTTGCAT